GACCTGAGAGCGGGGGGCCCCCGAGTCTGGGGCGGGGCCGGCGGCCCGACCTCCCTGGCCGAATTGTGCCCATTCACAGGCGCCGCTCACAGAATTCTCACAGGTACCGCTCACAGCATTCTCACAGACCTGTCCCCCGCTCACCGGTACCGCTCACAGAATCGCTCACAGAAAGCTCACACAGGAATCACAGAAGAATACATTCGAGCGGTCCCAGAGCTTGCAAGGCACTGCAACTCTTAAGTTTAGGGGCTTAGGGTTTAGGGTTTTTTTAGGGTTTAGGGGCTTAGGGTTTAGGGTTTTTAGGGTTTAGGGTTTAGGACTTAGGGTGTACGGCGTAGGTTCCTAAATGGATTCTTTTCAGGGAGAGGGGTTCTGTGAGGGTTCTATAATACAGGGTACCTGTTTGAAAAGGTTCTAGCATGGCTCCATGATTCTACAAGGGTTCTATGAGGATGCCATAAGAGTTGTACACAGGTTCGGTCTGGATTCTAGAAGACTTCTACGAAGGTTCTGTAAGAGGTCTTAACCCTAAACCCTACTCCCTAAACTGGTCTTCAGTAGTTCTCTATAAGAACACATTACCAATATGGTGAGCTACAGGTACCTCGTGGCTTCAACCCAAAGAGCCGGAAATTGCCGAAAGCTTCAAACCCTAAACCCTTAGGGTTTAGGGTTAGGAGTTTAGGGTCTAGGGTTTTAGGGTAAACCTACCCTTGCCCAAAAAACAGGTTTCAGTCAGAAGGCCTGCTCAAAACTTTCTGCCCAGCCCAGCCCAGCCCAGCCCAGCACTCACCAGCTCCGGCCAGGCTTGTTGTCGTCAAGAAGATACGCTGCAGGTGGCTCCAAGGCAGATAGTACCTGGGCCTTTCCCATAAGACACACTCGGGCAGTGGCCTGGCCAATGCTGTATCGGAGGGAACCCTAAACCCGAAACCTCTAAACCCTAACCCCCAAACGTGCTGAAGGTGCAAAACAAAGTTGGCAGCACCCGCAAAGGATAAGATGCTGAAGTGCAGTGGGTTTAGGGTTTAGGGGTTAGGGTTGACGATTTAGGAGTTAGGGTTTAGGGTTTAGGATTTTGAGTTTAGGGTTTGGGGTTCAAATTGTTGCCGCAAAATTTCACCAAGGCGTCCAAGACCTCTGGCACGAAGTGACCCTGAAGCAAAACACGGAGTATCCCACGTGATCCTTTAGGGGTTTAGGGTTTAGGGTCGGCCGTCTGGTGTGCGCTCGGCCTCCCTCCAGCCCTTTATCGAGGACACCATGCCCGTCAAAGACCAGGGTCATGTGAAACTCTCATTACACCATGACAAGCCCTTACACTAGAATCCTTCATGAACCCCTGTAGAACCCTAAACCCTAAACCCTGAACCCAGAATCCTAAACCCTAAAACCCTGAACCCTTAAAGAACAACGACAGGCTCGACGAAGCCTGCAGAAGGAGGCGACACCTGACCCGGAGCGACCACATCCTGGCATTAAGGTTTAGGGTTTAGGGTTCTGAGGTTCCCTTAAATTAAAGGATTCTAGAAGGACTGCTATAAGGGCTTGGGGTGTAGAGTGCATGAATAATAAGGATTTGGCTATAAGGGTCACCACAAGGGTTGCTGTGAGGGCCTTGATAATTGGAACAAGGTTTCTCTCGAAGATTTATCGTCATGTTGCCCGCCTTATAGGGTTTAGGGTTTAGGGTTTACATAGGGTTTAGTAGGGTTTAGGGGTTTAGGGTTCAGGGTTTAGGGTTGAGGGTTTAGGGGTTTAGGGTTTTAGGGTTTACATAGGGTTTTGGACTTGGGTTCAGGGTTCAGGTTGGCATTCGGGCGTAGATGGACAAGTGTCGTCCTTCAGGGCTCGCCATCCTGTGAGGGAAGAGTATTACCGTCCAGGCTTTTACAGCTTCAGGTTTGTGATTTCACTTTGGGGCCTGTGTAAAATTTCAGCATATCGTAGTACTTCATACTATGTAGGACTCTTGGGGCTATTCTGAGACTTGACGCGAATCCTCTAGGGCATATAGTAATGATTATGCTTTTCCTAGTTTCTGTTTTCAGCCGTTAATTTTGCAAACCTGTCATCTCATCACTGTATAGCTGTATAGCCATAACCTAGCAGAGTGAGAAGCGCACTGTGCGTCTCTATCTTTGGTGCAACTTTTGCCGGTTTGCATGGTAATGCCGCCGATTCGTCTTGCAGCTTCTCTGCATTCACCGATGGAAATCTAAACAAAACCCTATGGTTACCCTAAGCCCTCTACCAACTCGATAATGACGCTAAACCCCATACCTTAAACCCTGGACCCTAAACCCTTGCGGAAGAGCCTTGCCGGAGATCTCTGCATCCCCATTTAGGACGATGGTCTTCTCCTGGTAGTCGATTGCACCGTCAGAACCTAAACCCTATAAAGTCTAATCCGAGTATATGCTTGAACTAAACCCCAAACCCGAAAGCTCAAACTCTAAGTGACACACATAAATCGAAACCCTTAACAAGCCCTTAACCCCCCAAACACCGACTCAGAGAATGTCACCGGCAAGATAGAAGACGATTTTGGGATTGGGACCGCTGTATCCCAAGATCTCGCAAAGGAAATCAGGAACGAAACACACTGGACACACCACAGTCCCTGTAAGAGGGTCTAGGGCTTCGCCCGATTCGACGAGCCCATTCGACGAGCCCACGTTTGAAGCAAGCACAAATGAGCCGTACAAGAGTTCATGGTTCATATTCCAGAGGTAAAGCGGTACAATACAAAGCGGTTTCAATTCTGTCAGGAATAACTTTTCGTTCAGGAACCCTACACACCAAACCCTGAAGCCAATCTAGCTAGAGGGTGGTCAGAGATTTCGGGGCTCATGCGATGGATGGCTTCGCAAACTGCTGCTTACGGTTTAGTTTTAGGGTTAAAAAGTGTAAAACTCGCGGGAATTAGGGTTTATAGGGTTCATCTGATCTCCGAAGTCGGCGCTTCTGAGCCGCGAGCATAAAGCGTGATCCTACTTCTGAACCCTAAACCCTAAGCCCTGAACACAAAATCATGAATAATCTGCCGGGCCTTGTTCTTCTTCTGCTTCTTCTCTTTCTTGTCCTGGCAGTCAAGTTTAGAGATCCCCAACACCTGTCACCTGACCACCTTGGAGCATAAGACCAAAACCCTAAACCCTAAACCCCAAATCCTAAACCCTAAACCCTAAACCCTAAACCCTAAACCCTAAATCCTAAACCCTAAACCCTCAATTTGGCCCTAAGCCCTAAACTCTAAATCGCCACTGCACACCCAAGCCCGGCCACACTCAGACCTGAGCCACAATTCCTAGTTCATGGTTGGGTTTAGGGTTTAGGGTTTAGGGTTAAGGTTTAGGGGGTAGGGTTAAGGGTTTAAGGTTTAGGGGGTAGGGTTTAGGGTTTAGGGGGTAGGGGTTTAGGGTTTAGGATCCGGGGTTTAGGGTTTACGGTTTATGGGGTTGGGATAGCGTTACATCTTTGAATTTCTATTCCTCGTCGAGTTGAAATACACATAAACATGTAGTGCTACCCGGCTATCTATTGGAGGGCACAGAATTCCACGGAATCATAAGCCAGAGACTTCGAAACAAGGTGATTAAGGCCTAAACCCTAAACCCTGAACCGTCAATCTCAAAACGGAGGATCCCCCACATATTCCTTACTTGAGAACTGTTGTCTCCTTCAGTACCTACAAGTGGCTTTTTGTGAGGTTAGTGTTTAGGGTTTAGGGCACAAGGTTCAGTATCTGTTTAAAAATCTATACTGGAGACACCCCAAGATCTTGATATAGCCCAGGTTTAGGGACCCAAAACAGTGCCTGCCCAAACTGTCACATCTTTCTGTTCAGGTGGTCTGTCGGACCCCTATGATATAATTTATATGCGGGATCAAGATGTCCATCCTTCGATGCTGTGCATACGGTGTGCGAACTTGCGCGACAAAAGCTTTCAAAGCCGCATTACTTTCCCAAATGGTCCTAAGTACCTATATGGGGGATCTTCTCAACATAACAATAATGACTCCTACTACAATAACCCTACTTCCTACAATTTCGGTGAACCCTTGAAGGAACCCGAATAGTAATTCCCGCTGTAGAACCGGTACTTTCTACTGCATAGGTGCTTAAGACCCTTGAGGTTTCTAATGATTATAGGACATATGTCGAAGCGAAAGTAAACGCACGCTCTAAAGCTCCCGCTATATAGACAGCAATATAGACACAATAGTTAAAGGGTTTAGGCGGTTTACGATTCAGGGACATATTCAGCTTATCTATGCATTCATCTATCTGTTGATATCTATGGAGATAAGAATGTAATGCTGAAGAGCGTGTCCCTGCCTCCATGAACACTGCAAAACACGACATAAACCCTAAACCCTAAACCCTAAATACTAAACGCAAACCCTAAACCCCAAACTCTAAACCCTCAACCCTAAACCCTCATCGAGAAGCCTTGACGACAAAGAGATAAACAACAGAAGGGCCAACACCAACACCATGACACGACAGCGAACACAGAGATCAGAAAACGGTTTAGGGTTTAGGGTTTAGGGCTTTGGATTTAGGGGTTTAGGGTTTAGGGGTTTAGGGTTTAGGGTTGGATCAGACAACTGCAAAACCATTGAGGACCCTGAAAGGAAAGACCGCCGCCCCCCCCCCACCCCCCCGCGCCCATGAGTCCTTTTTTGCTTTCTTCTCCTTCACAGGCTTGGGTTCCACCGGCGTGGCACCTTGACCAAGAAATAGACATTCAGTGCTTCGAGCCAAAGTTATGATGTAGGGCATGCCACCTTAACCCCAAAACCCGAAACCCTATGTAGGTACATGGAGCTTTTGGGTACAGGGTGTGCGGGCATGGAGAATGGGGGTCTCGGAATCAAAGTTTAGGTCTTAGGGTCTCGGGTTCAAAGTCTGAGGTTTAGTTTCTCGGGATCAAAGTTTAGGCTTTCGGGTTTTTTAGGTTTTAAAAAGTTGAAAAGGCAAACCCTAAACATCCAAGTTTAAACATTCAGGGAGTCGGCATGATACTGTTGATGATATAAATCCTGCATTACCTGAAGGACCCCAAACTATGGAAATTATGGTACATTCCTTATCGTGGGAAAGCCAGGATTTATATCATCAACCGCTTCAATACCCCTAATTAAGGAATATGCCTAAAAATGCAATACCCTAAGGCTCAAAAAGAGCCCAAAAGCCCCTTGGAATATGATTCCATAGAGCCTTAGGGAATGGGATCATCCCTAAACCCTAAACCCATCAACCGTGGGGCTGAGGCCATGGGATGAGGGGCCTTTTGCAACAGGCTCACAGCAGGAAGTAGGACCCAACATCCGACTTTTTACTGCCGTAGGGTTGAGGGCTGCAAAAGTTTTAAGGGATTAGGGCTTAGGGTATAGGGTTTGGGGTGTAGGGTGTAAGGTTTAGGGTTTAGGGTTTGGGGTCTAGGGAAAAGGGTTTACGGTGTAGGGCTTAGGGGCATCGGCCCTGAGTGATAAACCGCTCTTCAGGAAGCAGGGGTCCACATAACTAATTATGTCCCCCGAAGCCGTATTGAACGCCCATAACCCGAAGCCCTAAAACCCCGAAGGCACCAACCGATTCAAGGTATGGAGTTTAGCGCTTGGGTCGGTTTGGCGGGTTTAGGGCCGGAGTTTACTACCCAAAGGGTCTAAGTACTAGTATGGTAGATACTTTGGGGCCCAAAATACCTACTATATGGGTACTTAGACCCTTTGGGCTAGGGGTCTCGGGCCCTAGGGTCAATCAACCAAGATTGAACCCGGCCCGAATGGCAGGGTCCTCCTTGCAACGACCCCTCATGCTACGGAAGCCCAAACACCTTACTTAGGGTTTAGGGTTTAGGGTTTAGGGTTACTCAAAGCGCAGGAGACTTCTGTTTCATAATGGGGTTTCAGAAAACCAGGGCTACTTTCTTTGCGGATGCTTCTAATAAGGATCCTACTTGTTGGAGGCCCCCCTGTCTGAACTCCCATGTACAAAAGAACCCGGCACCCGAAACCCGAAATCTCAACCTCCAATCGACCTGGTCATCCTCACATTCTCAACCTTGAAGGCTTTCAAGCCGAAATTCCCTGAGGTTTTAGGGCTCAGGGCTTATGGGGCTTAGGGGTTAGAGGGTTTAGGGTCAAAAAACCTACGAGACCCCTATCCGAAACCGGCCTTGTTTGGTCGTATTTGGCTTCCTGAGCTCCCGGCCGTTGGCCGCGGTAGGTGGAGCTGCTGCAGCCTTCGCCACAGCCTCGGCCTAGCCCGTGGCGAAATGGCTCAGGGCTTTTGCAAGCTTAGGGCTTTTTGGGGGGCTGCGGCTTCGTAAGGCAAGCATTGGTCATATTACTAATGAATGAATCCTAAACCCTAAACCCTAAACCCTGCCTTTCATTCATTTCTTGAAAGATGGCAATGCAAGCAAGAAAGGGCCCAAAGCCATGCCGACGTATACACAAAAAACCGAAGCTCAACACATTCTTGCCCGTGCTCAGCGATGGGGTTTAGGGTTTAGGGCTT